CTCTTGCTGACACCCACAACCCCGTGCACAGTGCATGCATGCACGGCGTGTGTGTGTGTGTGTATGTCTGTGCGCTGTGACCAGTATTACTGGTTCTTTTCTTAAGGTTCACACAGCTATCCTGAGAAATATTTGTTTAAGTTTGGTCTTTGCTTTTCAACTTCGTTTCTGCAATTTCAACAATCAAAGCTGTCAACCCATACGGTTTACCCAGTATTCTTGTACAGGGAAATTTAGTTGTCAGGTCCATGCGGCGTACAGCCGTTTCAATACGGGCAAAATAAAAAAATAAACGTGTCTATTTGTTTGTGTTTCTCCCTTGTGATGTAATAAGGTAGGGCACTGATAAGGGGTTGACAGGTATGCAATTTCTTCTTTAAAAAAAAAAGACACATCGTACAGTCCGTCCATTCAACGATATTTACATCGCCGATTGTGCCCCCGACTCACGGGGCCGATTCATGGCGTACACAACGATGGTAACGAAGCGAATGCACCGTCCTTCGTAAATCAGAAAAAACTCGCCGCTTTAAACCAATGAGCAATTGCACGCGTTCTACATACAAATATTCCTGTGTAGCCTCCTAGACTACTGGGGGGGAAAGTGCTGATGATGATGAGCACCATTCGAGGGTGGGACAGACAGCGCACGAGGGCGGCTGTGCGGTTTAAGCACCACAGCCTCGATTTGCCGATGTGTGCTGCACCAAGTGTACTCTCATCCGAGGCTTGAGTCAATCCCACTTAAGGCCGAGTCAACAGAGGCACTCGGAGGCGACCACTCTCAGCCAGCGATATGTTTCGCTACGGCTGTGAATCAATCCTCAGGTCGTCGGGGTTCATTGCGCACCGCACTCCCCCCCGCAGTTTCATACACTGCCATACGTATGTGCAGCACCCAGGCACTTTTAAACGATCCTACAAATTACACTTATGAACATTTTCCATTTTAACGCAATAGAGTTGCCTAATTTCGTTGCTTTATTTAATGTTAAATGTAGAGTTTGTTGTCCTTCGCTCGCAACTCCGATTTCGCACGGTTGGTTACGTACGGTGCGAAAGAAGTTGACATTAGTCATTGCCAATGATTTTCCTACTAAGGCACAAGTGGACAATGAAGATGAATGAGATGGAACAGAATGGTATTCGTAAGCGTGTTGAAGCGTGGTCAGTCTCCGCAACCCGACACGGCTTTGGGGAGGCCTTCAATCCAGTGACTAATGGCTGCAATTTATTCACAATATGCATTATGATTTTTTAAATAAATGAACATAATGCGATTGTGGTTTCTCTCAAGAAAGTTTAGTTGCAGCAAAGGACAACTGACTCACTCAAGCGCATGTGCTGCCAATGGGCGCATTAGTCACCGCCCGCGTGACTGTACACGGCACGTGAGAAATCAATTTACGACAACGAAGGGGCATAACGACGCGTCGACTCGTATCGACTGCTGAGCTCGCGAGAACGTGCCTGCAATCGCGAGGGTGAGAACCGTCATTCTCATATCCGTGCAAACACGTTGGACGCGATAAGTTCACATCACTCCCGGTGCCGCTTTAGAAGTGCTATCCAATCTATCGAAAATGGTTCTTGGATTGAATCGCGACAATTCACCGACTCGCTCGGGGAGGCGAATCGTTACATGCCTACAAGTACTTCTGAATAATGATAATAATTTCCCATACTACTGTAAATCCTCCCATTAGCAGGGTCGCACCTCCGATTAGCACAATTGGCTACGCCCGGTGCGGAAGAAGTTCAACATACGTACAACAATCCATCTGTGAATGACTGTCTCACCACACTGTGCTGGCCCGTGGGGGTTGTGTGGCTATACTTCTCCATGCTGGTCAGTGTGGATTGGGTGAACTGGCAGGGAGGGGTGGGGGGGGGCTCAGGGACCGGTTCAGACATCACTCTTAAACGACGTGAGCCCGTGGCTGGGAATCCAACTCAGGTGGCCGGCTGGGTTCAACGCTCGGTGCACCAACTGCTGTGCCACCGCCACTCCACACCCCAAATATCGAGTAACAAAACAGAAAATATATTCAAGCAAGAATTACGCAATCGTGTCATTCTGAGATCACAAGGCTGACTAAAACCACAAGGGCTAGAGAACAACCGGAACACATCTCTGTGGCAATTTACACGAAAGACTAAACTATTTTTCTTATTTAACCAGGTAAGGCCCACTTGTGAGCTATTTAGCTATTTTCAGAAGCGACCTGGCCACAAATGATACCTTAACAAAGTGGCTTATCACGTGGAAATTTATCGCAGCCAAATACAATAAACGCACGTTGATTGATACCATCAATGTGTAGGGAAAAACCGAAGGACCCGGAGCAAAATCCACGTGACCACGGGAAGAGAGAGACACGCCAACTCCAAATATACAGCAGGTGTCATGGTCAGGATTAAACCCACGACCTCCCGCATACCAGGCGAGGTAGTAAACATCTCGTCACCGTGGCGAGAGAGTTGTTCCACTGTGCAGGCATCGCCAAATGTTTGAACCAAAATGACATTCGCCAAAACGTGAATACGGAGGCCCGAACTTTTAATTTGCCCCTTTTTACCCACAATGCCAGATGGTAAAATGCAACCACCATGAGACCGACAGCAATTATGACCGCATCTTGGATGGCAAGGCGACTCGCTCGCATATTGTTCGTCGGTGACAATCGCCTCCTGAGTCACCAACGCTGGCAGCCGCTTATGAAACGACGCTTGTGAAACACGAGCTGCTCACTTTGAGAGAACTACTTGCCGCCGGATCACGTACAAATGTGTCGCGTCAGGCCACGTCCCTCGTGTCAGCGCCTCAACTCCGTCTCGCTTCCCACCCATCCCGCATGAGTTGTCTTTTGTCCGCATGAGTTGGTTAATCGGCACGTAAGCGACATGCGAGGTTCATATCGAATGGGAGCTCTTTACCTCTCTCTCGCGGTGGCATATGCGTACATTCTAATAGCCTGGCACACGCAGTTTGCTTACCCAGTATAGCCTCACCGAGTCTCAAACGATTTCAGGAGGGTCCTGCCAAGTTTTAGCAGTAGAGGGCTATATTGCTGCTGTGTGTAATCCCAATTGAGAAATTTGCAGAATAGTTACATTACAGAGATTTTTTTTTAAAGGTTTATTTAGCTTAACTAATAATAGTTAGTTTAATACACATTTTGTTTAATAACACAAAGAAAATCAATGCTTGCAGAAGTAGCACATTTAAGAAATGTGGGTCACTGGAAAAAGCCCATGTCCCACTTTGACCACGTTGTAGAACTCTGAAGATTCGCTGTAAATGCCAAACGCGCTTCAACGGCAGCCAAAGCACAGCAACTCATGGATGATCCTGAGAGTAGTTGGGAAAAATGTCACTAGCCACCCTACACGGCGGCTGCCTTGGTTTTCATCCCAAAGTTAAGAGAACGACAACAAACCAGCCATTGCCCATCCCCTTCAAACCAGACCCGGCGACACACGCCGTTCAACGTGGGCATGCCTTGTGCCATCACATGGAATTGTCCTCGCCAAACATACAAAGTGTGGTTCGGATGACGAGTGGGTGACGTGGATGATGCGTGCGGGACGTGCACGATACTCTGTTAATCCTCCCGTAGGTTGTTTACTCATATCAAACCATTAATGAATTCACAGATATTTCCCAATCCACTGTCTGGATGAATGAGAAGGCTTTGTCATGCCAGGTTGGCCATGGGGTTGCAATGAAGTCATCTGTCAAAGCAGCAAGTGTTCATATTTACAATGACGTTGGTTAAATTACCGGGCCCACCGTCTAATCAGTGCATTCACTTCGTTATCATCATCATCATCATCGTCTACGCCACAATTCGTCATCGTTCGGAGACCAAATCGGGTGGTTGTTAAATATCGTTGAATTTATGGCTGTACGATATTCCTTTTAAAGAGGACAAAGGTGGAAATTGTAAAAAGGAAGTTTAAAAGGGAAGACACGAAGGTTAGCATCTTCATCTGCAACAAAGTGACCTCGGAAAACCAAATTGACAAAGAGCAAAAAAACAGGTAAACAAAGTTCCGATTTAAAGCTTTCGTGACTGCAGGGATTCATCTTCTTGGTTCTTTCCGTAAAGTCACGTAGAAGGAAGATAATAATAAAATAATAGACGGCTGCTTGCGTTGTGGCCGAAACGTCGTGAGAATTATTTTATCATGTTTATTTTTATTATTTTATTATTTTCCTTCTACGTGACTTACCGAAAGAACCAAGAAGAAGAAAAAACAAAGTTCCGTTTGAGTTGCGCTCTGTACAACAATTGAAGCAATGTTTGATCGCGCGTCGCCACACTGGTCAATGTGTGGAGTTGGTGAATGGTAAAGAAGGGGGGGGGAGGGGGGGCGGGGTCGAGGAGAGGGTTATCTCACGACCCGGTTCTGATGAAGAGGTCACTCACCATGGATGATTTATGTGGCTGAAAATCGACCTCAGAAATCGAACTCGGGCGTGCCAACCACTGCGACGTTGCTGCACCCCATACTAATTTTACCCAAAGTCATTGCGCACTGCCCCGTCACGACTCTACGAGGCCGCTGGGCCACCCTCGCGTGCGAGGATTTCCTGACCGCGAGCTGCTCATTGTTATGATGTATGTAGCTCGTGTACGTAACAACAATATCAGAAGATTTGTTTATACTGGAGGGATCCGATTAACTATTTATCACAGATGTCCATTAGGTTGCTGCTGTGGACGGCGGCAGTGACGTGCGCTGGTCGCTTGAGTTCTTATCCGGTTTACACAAATAAACTTGACTTGACCTTTGACACACCAATGTCGTACAAATTGAAGATGCCCACTGTTCCCCCTGCAGCAGAGTCTTGAGATGCGGTTGCATTTAGGGCCTCCGCTGCAAGGGATCCCCCCCCCCCCCCACGGCGACGTTTCCGCATCGGTAGCGCAAGCGTGGCGCAAGGGCCTGGGCCCGTGCCCCCCGCGACAAGCCACCCGTGCCGAACCACTCACCGGTCGTGTTTGCTCTGCCGGATGCAGCCCTCAATGATCTCCTTCACTTCAGGGAAAGCGACCTTGTTGAAGCTCGCCGGCTTCACACCCTGCACGCGGCATGCGGGGGGGGGGGGGCGGGGGACAAACAAGATCATTTAACTGCACGCGTGTTTGTGCGTGCGACCCAAGTTCGATTCGCGCTCGCGGCCAATGCCGGTGACGATTACATGAACCGGTCCGGGCCTCCCCTAGGTTGACTCGACCTTAAATGAGATCCTGGTACGTGCTGCGTGAAAACTAGCCCTGGCGTGGTGTTGCATAATCCACGCCCTCGTGTGCCGTGCCGACCTTCATAGGTGCTTGCTAATAGCACTTGCCCCAACAGTCTGCTAAGGCTATACGGGAGATATTTGTGGGCGTGTATCTGTGTATTAATGTGCATGCAGGTATGCATCTGCGTTTGTACGTCTTTGCGTGTGTGTCTGTTTACTTGCGTATGTGTGCGTCTGTGTGTGCATGTGCATGGAAATGGATTTGGGCGTTTGTGTGTCTCTTTAAACGTATCTGCACGTGCGTGCGTGTCTGTGTGCGCGTCTGTCTGTGTCCGTGCCTGTCACTTTGGTCACCCCTATCATTCCCTCCACTTCCCGACGCTTTCATCGAAGCTCCGGCCTCATTGTGGGTGAAGTCACGTAATTACCCGCCGCTCGTGTATTATTAACGTGACCTTTGAAGTTATATACAGGCAATTCGGTCTTTCAATCAGGAAACAACCAATAGAATCGTCCTGCATTTCAAATGTGTAAATACATAAATTTATTTTTTTAAGCGGCACGTGTTTAGACACATACAATCCGTCGGGCCGTTTGGCAGTTTTGGCCCAAGAATGAACCCCGAGTTCGGAGCTAGCGATGATTTCCGCGCTGGCGAGCGCAACAAAGGAGGCAGGGCGTCTAGCATTACGGGGGTTTTCACAATTTATTGTTTTTGGGCAATGGAGAAAATTCACCAAAATTGGGCCTCGACACAGCCACTCAAAGCCTTGGCAAACGCACAGAGAAGAGTGAGCGAGCACATTCGGGGGGTCTTTAAACAACCGATAATGACGGTCGGCCACCTTTTGATGGTCACCCCATTTTCCAGAGAGAGGCACAGTTTTTTTTTACTCATCTACGGCTCGATTGATCGGAAGAGGATAAATGCTGGAATTCCTTTTTTTGCGCGGGCAGGAAGCTTGCAGCGTTTCTTATTTTTTTTCCCCCCGAGCACATTTTTAGTACCGTTAATAATTCGAGAAAAAGCAACCCCCCCCTCGCCCCAACAAGAAAAAGTCAAGTCGGCCTATCTGACATCACCCATACACGGCTAATTAGAGACCACGGCAAGTCGGCAATTTCCCCCGGACAGGCCCGGCAGAAACACCACACTCGTGCTGGCATGAACAAAAATTACACTTAGTTATTTTTGGATAAATTCTTGGAACCCAAGTAAGAAATGTCAGCACGATACGTTTAATGAATTAAACAAATTAAATTGCGCGCAAGGCGATTTTATACTTACCCCCCCCCAACCCAAAAAAAATATATTTTCTGCTGAAGGTGAAGTAAGCGTTTATGGATTCCTATTGGGACAGTCTGTAAACCGAGACAGAATGGCCCCCACCTGTCTGTCTGCATGCCCTGCTGGGCAGTAAGTGGGGGCGGGGGGAGGGCCATGGGGGGGGAGGCGGGGCAGAAACCAAGGTGACACCACAGATGTTAAGTGGCAAAGTAACAACCGGTATCTACTACACAAAGCAGCTGTAGGAGAGGGGATTAAACACGAAGCAGCTTATTTTTAAAACGCGTGACGGATGTGGGTTCGAATCGCACCTCAGATGACAATGCAATTATTTTTCACCCCCCCGCCCGCCTCTCGACCCCCATCGCTGTGCTGCGATCTCCTATCTCCCTCGCAGGCCACGCCAACACCACCCTGGCTTTCCCGGGCAGTCTCCAGTCCAAGCACCGACCAGGTTCAAAGCTGCTTGGGTTAAGCAACCTGGTGCGTTCGGTGCATGATGGGGTTAGTTGGTGAAGAGACTTGCTTGTGGGTGAGGCAGAGGTTAGAAGAAGGAAGTAATATCTGAGATGAATATGAAGAAAACTAAAAGTTATAACCAACGGTTTAGCAAAGGACTAAGCTTGAATGTTAACGTATTGAAATGTGTGCAAATATAATAATTTATGGAATTCGGGCAAATCATTTAATCCTGCGATAGGCAGGACAAAGAGACGCAAGAGAGAATCACTCGTGCTGGGAGAAAATGTATTGGTCAATGAGAATCTTCTTCTTGGTTCTTTCGGTAAAGTCACGTAGAAGGGAAATAATAAAATAATAAAAATAAATATAATGAGAAATTTCACGAAGGGACGATTACCGACGCGTTTCAATTGGAAACGGGATTCTTGGACTTTAGCCGGAACGAACTAAGGGGCACAAATGTCCCCTCCACCAACTAAAGAACAAGTGAGAACGTGACAAGTCAACCAAAGGGCAATGAAAAGGAGGATTTTATCTTCTTGGTTTTTTCCGTGACTTCCACGTGACTTTACCGAAAAAAACCAAGAAGATGAATCCCTGCAGTCACGAAAGCTTTAAATCGAAATTTAAGGAGGATTTTAAATGTAACATGGAGGTACAAAATGAAAAGAAACATTCAAGATTTGAGAATTAAACCAAGACAATAACAGACATCATGAACAATGTGAAAACAAAAATTGAACGCAGTTGGGGGGGGGGGGGCATAACATTTCGCTGAGAATTACAGAAGCGAGAGATAGGCCCAATCATTAGCAATGGAATGGAGACGATGGAAGGGAGGGGAAGAGAGGGAGACAGAATAATGAGATGCGTGGGATGAGAAGAGAAGATTTTGGAGGAGCAACTTGGATGGAAGTGGCAAGAGATTGTGAATAGTGGGAGACAATAGGGAAGGCTTTTGTCCAGCAGTGGGATGTTGATGGATAAGAAAGGAGAAGGAAAAAGACTTGCATAGACTTATCTCCAGACCCACAGGCCCACACAAAGACCTATATACTTACAAATATCTTCTATACGCCAACACATCCGAGCCGCATGGCATGGCGATATTTCCACTGGATATATACCCGTGTCAAACCGGAACCAAACTGCCCCTGCACCAACATCACAAGACGTTGAATCTGGCTCGGGGGCCAAGCAGGGCCAAGGGGGCAGGACGGGTTGGCTGCCCGTGATGTCGGTCGGTACACAGGGCGCTGCGGTGGCGATATGTTAACTACCTCGCCTGGTATGCAGGAGGTCGTGGGTTCAATCCTGACTCCGACGCCTGCTATATATTTGGAGTTTGCAGGTCTCTCTCTCCCCGTGGTCACATAGATTTTTCTCTGGGCCCTCCAGTTTTTTCCTCCACATGTGTTTAGAGTATTTGGCTGCTATCCATTTCCACGTGATAAGCCGCTTGGTTGAACTATCATTTGTGATGGCAAAGTCGCTTTTAGAAAAGAGCTATATAGCTCAGTGGGCCTTACCTGGTAACATTTAAATAGTTTATAGTCAAAATAGAGAGGGGCGCCGGCATCAGTGGGTGGGTGGGGTGGGTGGGGTGGGTGAGGTGGGTGGGGTGGGTGTAGTGAGTGACTGAGTGGTTTGAGTGGGTGGGTGACTGGGTGGCTGGCTGGGTGGGTGGCTGGCGCGCTGTGCACTCACGCTGGTGACGCGGCGGTAGATCTGGGCGGCGTTCTGGCACTCGGAGTAGGGGTACTCGGACGTGGCCATCTCCAGCATGCACATGCCGAACGCGTACACGTCCACCGACTCGTCATAGTGCTCCTCGTACATCTCCGGGGCCATGAACTCGGGTGTCCCTGCCACGCAAACGTCGCACACAAGTCAATGTCTCCTCTTGTTCGTTGTCGTCGTCGTCATCATCATTATCCAATCAAAGGAGAGGAATTCGCCGTCGAGGACAGCTATCGTGGGGACAGAACGATGACATTGGCTCAAGTGCAAGAGCCACATGGGACGTTACATTGCAAAACTGAGATGGTGATGGCTTGGAGACAATAATTTATTAATAAATAGATCATGACTGATGAGGATTCCCTGTGGCACTGTCTGTGAAGAGTAAGATTTCGTCAAGAATAGGCAGCCTAATCACGTGGCTATCCCGAATGCTCACTCACCGCTTCTGCACTGGTGGCATTAAACGCGTCTATGGAAAATGTAAGCCACATTATTATTATTATTATATTTCTTTTCAATTTCACACCAACAGTGTTATTGACAAACATGTTGGGTTTGTCTGTGCACTACTGCCAATGCAGTATCACCTAATCGTTCATTTTAATTCACATGTCACCGGGCTGGGGAAAATTGCTCAAGCTGCCCACATTTATTGAGCCACAAAATCCTGAAAAAGATATGTATTAAAATAAATAAATGTTTCCTGTGTGCCATTCCCCCCCCCCCCCCCCACCTCTACGCACGTCTCATTAGATAGCGATGTGTGTTATTTAGCACCAGTCAAGCTCGGCAGCCAGTTATCCCATTCCCGCAATTATCCAGCACGGAGAGCGTAAGGTATGATTTCCCCAACCTTACAATTACGTATGCTAGCAATGAGACGGAAAAAAAAAAGATTATTTTTTTAAAGTTAACTACAGGCAATCTGCAGCAAAACAATTTCTCTCATTGCGATACCCACAGGTGATAAGCCCCCGCTGTTGCGCTCCTTGCATTTAAAGCATCATCTTACGTTGCAACCACGACAAAGATGAGCACACAGCAGCTGCCAAACCTCTCACCCTAGAGAGTAGACAAACGCCAAACCACTGCTGGTTCTACGGACCAGTGACTAAAATCACCCGGAATGTCTCCGATCTCACCAGATCTCCCGTAACGAAGCAGAAGTGAGTCGGGACATTGCTTGGATGGGCAACCGCCACGCATAATAATAGGTTTCTTAGAGACTGCTACAGGGCTACACTGTCATCGGAGGTCAGCGTGGAAATAATGCACGGTTGTACTGCAACACGCTGCAAATTCAACACAAAGATCTCCCGCCGCATAGCCTGAACAGACTATTGGGGCACCACCGCCTTCACCAACATGCACCGATCAGCGGGAAGGAGGTCAAATAACTTCCGTAATCCACGTGGCGTGGGGAGGCCCTCGTCCACCAATGTGTTGACAAAAAGGCTGCACGTGAACTCGAGTAGCAAAGGTCGCAACCGGGTACCGGATACCTGTACCCTACCCGATACCCAGCTACCCGTACCCGGCCGGGTACGGGTACCGGTTTGCGACCCTGGTGTGGCCGGGTACGGGTACGGAATCAAAACCCGTTTGCGACCTCTGTCGAGCAGGGGGTCGGCAAACCTGTGGCTCCGGAGCCGCACGTGGCTCTTTAAGGACCGCTGCTTTGTGACGTTGCTCATTAAGGACCCACCGTCTGGTATTCAGCACGTGCAGCATTGCAGGCTCTTAAAATACTGAGTTTTTTTGTTGTTACCGATTTCGAAAAAAATGGCTCTTCTTGTAATTTTGGTTGCTGACGCGTGTATTCGAAATACCGCTAAGTGGGATATAACATTGGCAACTTTGCATGACCCATACCAAGGACAAATCGGTTTAATAATTTTTATCAAGTGATAGTGCGGTGATTATGTAAGTTGCGTTTGCAAAATTATCTTTCAACTCGTTCAGCAAAGCTTACATGGTCGTATCTCTTGGTCTTACAAGAAAATACAGAGCAAAGAAACAGCCAAACTTCCTGATGTGGGTCAACGGTGGCTTTTTTTGGCCCCAAATTATTTTCCAATTGTGCCATGGGTGTCACTTGATGAGATGAAGAAATTCCCAGGAGGAACTGTCACAGTCGGGGAGCAGCACCGGAAGACGAAATCGCGGAACCCCTTTGGAGGATACTTCAATAAACATCCTCACCCACATTTTGTGTAACGCCTTTCACATTCCCTGCCAAAGTTTGTTTGTCACATGCCCATGCCAATCAAAGCGAGAGAGCAACATTCGTCACATAATCATTGAAATTGAACGAATTCCTAGAGCTGGAACAGAGTCAAATTACACAATACATTTTTAAAAATAATATTTTGCGTGTAGTCATTGGTGACAAGGGCTGAGATCAGAATCTCACTACAGCTGAGAACGTGGTTTAATCACGGGCGGCTAAATCATGGATTCGAAAAACCATCTCCCTTAAAAGGATTCCATCCTAGGAGGCCGGGTGGCTCAGAGGTCAATTCTGGGCTGGCACGGCCAAGACGATGAGTTTGAATGCAGGCAGGTGTATGCGATTAAAACCGCGTCAATTGCAGTGTGTGGCTGATTTCACAATTGAACCTTATGGAGGGAACCCCGGGGTTCCATAAGCCCCCGGCTCTCGCACAAAACATTATATTATAATGTAAACAAAAGCTTTGCTCTTTTTCACCAATGGGTTTAAAGGATGGTGGCAAGTGTTGTCTTGTTAAACTATGCCTTTAAAACTGAAAACTACTTACCTGCAGTAGCTCTATTTAAATACACTATCGAAAAAAATATTTACACCCCCTCTGTCTTTCATCGTGTTTCTCAGTGTGGATTTGTGAACACACTTTGTAAACAGTACATAAAATAGTACGTGTTTTCAATGCGCTGTTCATATTGTAACAAGCGCTTATACCAATGTTACTCTACAGAGTAGTGGGTCGCCACTCCTCTTATCCGCATTCATACGAGCGGTATGTGGGGACTATGGCTTAACCGCAAAAACACCGATCTGCACAGATGCATACGGACAAGAGAAGTATGATCAAACAGGAGGAATTTACGGTGCAACGCATCTCATCTGTTAAATATCTGCAGGTAATAGGATTGTTATCGATTGATCCTGGCTGCAGACATTGGTAGGTCACAAATAATAATGAAGATAAGAGATCAGTTTCACTGTATTATGCAAACCGTGATGACAAAGAGGACTTATGTCACATATGCAGTTTGAGCAGCTTTGGATAAGACTTATGATCCCGCCCATACACGAGCATGGAGAGCATTCGCTTGTTCAGCTCTTCTGCACATTCGTCCTCGCTGCGCTTGGATGACAAGACAACAGAATGATCCGCGCCATGTAGGTTACGGCGTTCATGTGCGCGGTGGGACGGAGTCGCCAAAAATAAATTAATTAATTGCGATTTTTACTTCCGTTCATTCGGGACCCCGGGGTTCCGCCATAAGGTTCAATTAAACAATCACATTAAATTGGCGCTGCACTTAATATGGCTAAATTCCCACTCACATGATTAAATATCTGTTCAAATGCCTTGTGACAAACATCACTCTCACACTACTGTGTGGACCCCAGACCGCTTGAATGGATCTCAGAAGTAGCTCTGTAATGTCTGCTTCTGTATGTATGTACCAATGACTTCTTTCGCACCGTACGTAGCCAACCATGCTAATCAGAGGTTCTCTAGCACCAAGGCGTTGCAATGTCATTAGCACAGCTGAGATGAAACTGGGGAAAATAAATTCACAAAAAACATTAGCCGCCCGCACTCACCGATGACACTCTTGGCGAAGGAGGCCCTCTTGAGCGTGGCCAGCCCCAGGTCCCCGACCTTGACGGAGCCCGTGGGCCCCGTGATGAAGATGTTGTCGCACTTGAGGTCGCGGTGGATGATGGGCGGGTCGCGCGTGTGCAGGAAGTGCAGCCCCTTGAGGATCTGTCGGCACCAGCTGCGCATCACCTTGATCTTCATCTGCTTGAAGCGCTTCAGGTAGCTGTGTGGTGTGGGTATGGGGGGGGAGGGTGTGATAACAGTGGAGTCAAATTAAGTTAATTTTGTTCGACCAGGTGAGAACTCAGTTGACCAGGGGATAGGTCTCAATTGTAAGAGTAATCAGCGACACAAACAATAAAGTACACAGAAATCAGAGGAAAAGCAAACCGTATCACAAGAGGAATCGAAACATTCGCAGAGGGAGGCGAGGATAAGTGTCGCAAAACAATCCCCGAGACCCGCAACGCCGGCGCTTAACTCCGATAAATGGAGCGTTTCTGTATAAAACACAAACAGAACCGCATTCCGTCTCTCCATATACGCATACAAAATGTGGTTTAGTCCATCGGCACCAAGGATTGAACAAAAGTGTACAGGTACAGCCGTCTGTCAATCCACTGCTGGATGACGGCCTCCCAACGTCGTGTGGATCGTGGGGATGATTACTTGACTGAAAGATGCTTCTCCAATGAATTTCGACACCCAGTGGAATTTACCCGGTGAAATTAATGGCATCGGCACTGTCGTTGCTAAAATTTCTACGACGCTTTCAATGGGAACAATATGGCATGTTGGCTGGTTGGATAATGATTAGAAAAACTCGAGTGTCATAGATATCACTGCACTTGAGCACGTGTGCAGCAATCGATAACAACTGGACGAGGGACCTCCCCCTACGCCATTTTAAGTCAGTTCAAACAACCCCGACGACCCTCCCTGGGGGTTCTTTGACCATACTTCACCACTTGTCAGTTCGGTTGGGTGAAGGTGGGGGAGCATAGAAGTACAGCACAACAACAGTTTTTGCCACATTTCACACCACTTAGCCCTGCAGCGAGCCCGCTCACACGCTGGGCGCTAGAGGTTCACTACCTCGCCTTGTATACAGGAGGTCGTGGGTTCGATCTAAACTCTGACGCCTGTATATTTGAAGTTTGCATGTTCTCCCCGCGGTCGCATGGGTTTATCTCTGGCTCCTCCAGATTTTCCCTCCACATTGAGAATTACACGTTTAAGAGTATTTGGCTGCTATAAATTTCCACGTGATGAGCCACTTCATTTGAGCTATCATTTGTGGCCCGGTCGCTTCTGAAAAAGAGCTACATAGCTTAGAGGGCCTTACCTGGTAATTTTTAAAATTGTTTTTTCGGGAAAACTGCTAACATCTGTTGATTGCAAAGATTATTTAAACCTGGCTTTGAAATCTTAAACTAATGAGTTAATAATGTGATGCGCTGCTGGTCAATATGGCAAGCAGAGCAATGAAAGTAATAACTTTCGTATGAGCGCACTGTAAAAACAGTTTGCTATTCACGATGGTTACCCAAGAAAGCGCTGTCCAGGCTCAAACCTGCTTAGCTTCCGAGATCTTACCAGATGGTGGGCATTGTGGGCGATTTGGTCATAAGCCGGTAATTTATGTTGATTATGCCTTCTTTTTAGATGTTTGCCGACCCGATAAACGATGACTGAATTTTGATAAGTTTGGCCGCGCGTTGGGATCTTTGGGCGACTTCATGTTGCGGGTGTCACCGTTTTTCACGTGTAATATTTATAATGATCATCTATTAAACCTTCAACAATCGTGCTGTTTTGTTCTAACTACCTGGCATTTTCGACGTTTGTGCTTTGCAAACCACTAAAAAAATAAACACTGCTGTTGGATGCCAGAAGTGAAAAACACTTCCAAATTAGATCAAACAAAACATTCTACAAAATGCAATCTCTGCACTTTGGCGACTGTCGCACAAACAAAGACAAAGATCCCCCGTGTAGTCTTAACAGACTGTTGTGGCAAGTACTGTTAGCGAGTAGCACCTATGAAAACCGAGGGGGTGGGTGGCCAGTACCACGCCCAGCCGCTTTTGTCTCCCCAGTGGCGATGTTTACACACCGCACCAGGTCCTCATTTGAAGCTGAATCGACCTAGGGGAGGCCCAGGACCGGTTCAGACAATCATCACCAGTCTTGGCCGTGAGCGGGAATCAAACTCGGGTGGGTTGGTCCGTAGTACAGTGCGCCAACTGCTACACTACCTCTCTCCACAACACATGCAACAAGCACACACATCTGCGGTAAACATCAATGCATGAAAATTAGCACATTCCCGCTCCACGTCCGCACATCAAACTCTGAACTGCGAGTAAAGCCCCCCCCACACACACGCCCGTGTACAAACACCGATGGCAGGTCTCTGGCGATATTTTCTCCGTGAAGCTGTTACCAAGTCAAGCCGCTGCCAAGATCCCAGAGGGGTGCAACCACACGCGACTTGGCAACAACCCGGCAATTAAGACGTAGCTCGCATTCTACCATCGAGTAATTTTCCACCCAAAGCTTTATATACAGGCGATGGCGCGATTCTGGTTCGTGCAGGGTACAGTTCTTTTACTTTAAATGTTTTTTTATTATAAAATGACGATGCAAAAGCGACATGAATAAAATACCATTGTAACCTCATTTGCCAGTAAAATATATGATAATTGTTTTTTTTACCCTTCTATCTGGCAACAAAACTGACACCCATGTGAGACTAGGCTCTAAGGAAAGCTGTCTCGGGTGTGGATCAATCAACTTCAAGGACAGTGCATACATTATCAGAGTTATGTTTTTTGTTTGCATTATGACTGCAGGTATTGTGGTCTATGCAAACATGACTCCTTATAAAGAAAAGGTGTCAGTTTTGTTGCCAGATAGAAGGGTAAAAAACCAATTATCATGAATAAAATAGTTTAAGAGGTTACTGCTTCGTAAGCAAGTACAACGAGAGCGTTCTGACCTCTTCACCTCGCTCTTCTACCGGTCATCTTGCCAAGTTTATTTACAAGCCAGTCGAGAAGACCATTGTGACTTAAAATTTTACTTTTCAAGGGAGACCTGGCTTTCAAAGCAAATGTAATATTCATGTAAAAAAAACACACACCACAAAGGAATTCCAGGCACGTGTCTACTTTTAGGCCTTTTGTTACATTGTCTTGGTTTCTCTGACCAAGCTAAACGAAATAATAACCCCAATTGGTGTTCGGCCAAACATCTAGACGTTAAAAAATTCAACTGAAAATTACTCGCAGCGAGACTAAGCGTCGCCACCGCCTCATCCAAACCCCCAGCACAGGCAGAACCTGGCAGGACCCTCCTGAAAAAAAGTGTCTTGGGGATTCTGGGAGGCTTTCCTAGGTAAACAGAATAAAAATATGTATTTATACTGTAGGAATCCGATGAGCTCTAGAACTCTTTTTCACAGATGTCCAGTAGTTTTTCACAAGCATCGTAATCATAATAAAATTGATAAAGTGGTAGTGTGCACCAATTCAAAACTCTTTTACAGGCAAATCAGCACACTGCTTTTAAATTCATAGATCACAAGAGGGTTTTTTTGGGTTAGATCACATAAATACGTGTCGTTAAACACGCCACCACTCGACACAGCCAATTAGTAAGGTTTGTCACGTAAACAGAACATGCCAATTCGTTACTAGTACAGCACACCGGTGTGTTGGAGAGTAAATCCACAAGATGTACGATTCGAGTACGGCATTTCGCCAGTAATTACAACCGGCATCATCAGGCACCAGCCAGTTTTGTGGAAAAACCCTCCTGTTTAGTTCTTACATAGAGGGACTAGATGTGATGTCGTCACTTGTAAGGCAATCAGGTGCGAAGGACAGAGGGTGGGTTAATGTGTGCATATGAATTACAATGGATATCCATTACCGGTTGGGTTATTCATGGGGCAATTAAGAATATGCACGCACATTGTGCTTGTACATCCTGCCGTTGTTTGTGCACGAAAACCTCACTACCTGTTGTTTTCTGCTCACTAAGTTATGGGGACCTGTATTAGGCATGCAGTTAAACAGTGCATGACTTGACGATTCGCTTCTAAGCAGAACTAAGGCCTTGTAGCTAGCTATCCAAATGGTTAAACTTATTTTTTAAATCCTTTATATTAAGTTCACTTGCTTGCTTACGACCGTGCAAACCTTTCGGTCGTTTTTTAACCCACTTCCCGTGATCCAATCGAGCTGACATTTTGCACACAGACTCGTTGTGCGAGACAATTAATGTTCGTGAAAAATTTTTCCCAAAATTTTACACTGTTTAGGGAAAACAAATTAAATATTTAATTACCAATTGCTTAATACTGGCACACAATCATCTGACCCATAGGTGGCAGCCATCTCAAGCCAGAGGACGAGAGGACTCTAGCCGCCACGCATATAAAGGATTTATAGTGAAAAACTTTGTTTTTACTGGTTATACTTTTATTTCTCTCAATTTCATAGATCGACAAAATTCAGATCACCAAGGCCAGATGCCCTCGTTCGTTCCACCAATTATAAGGTCGGCCTGGTACACGAAGTTTCGCTCTCCTTTATGTATGTATGTTCGTGCGTTAAATTTGGTTCTCACCGCATGTCGCGACCCAGGCTAATCGGAGGGTCTCCCACTGTATTCTGGGTTCTTGAAAAATTTCGATTTAAAGCTTTCGTGACTGCAGGGATTCATCTTCGTGACTTTCTTGAAAAATTCTTACAAAAATAGTTCCAAGTAAAACTGCACACAGGTGTTTGGGCAAGCGCTTTGCTACTTAAAGACGACGGATTAAGACATCTTGAATGGAATCGATGAAAGGAGAAGAATTATACCCGGAATCATCAGAAGAAGACCCGGATTGGGGAAGATGGTTTGAAGGACGTCAAAGAAGGAACAATGGAAGGGGAAAATAAAGGAAGGAAGGGAAGGCTGAGGATTGGGATGTTGGAGGAGCTAAAGGACGGGGGGCGTTTATGAAAATGTCGAGGGCAGAGAACTGAGAAGGATGGAGGAGATGGCAGCCATTAAGGTAGAGCACCAGCAGGAGAAGAAGTTTGGTTTTGTTGCTAGGGGTCAACAAGAGGAGGCGGACTAACGAACGCTGCGACTCATCGCCCTTGGACGTGACGATCACCGGCGCGTGCTCGCGTTCATTCGTCCGTGCAGCCACCCCCCACACCTCAC